TTTTGGAAAGCAAGGCTATGTGAAATTCAATGGAAAACTCAGCTCAACTCATATCATTGTGGGAAAATTCTACTACCAGTCATTCATCACTTTAGACGAATTAAAGTGAATACATCTCATATTACTGATTTACTGGTAGTCTCGAAACTCTACTCCAATACGAAAACAACCTTTTGTAGCCCACCTAAACCGATGTAACCCTCGGACTTGACACCAAGGTCGGTACCTCATCGACTAGACAGTCGACCGATACCAAATGCGGTATTGCTTCGGTAAGTCGTCGGGTCAATCAAGCCTTAGTGCTTTTCGGATGCAAAAGTAACTGACAAAGAACAAGCGAATTATGAGGTTTCTCTCGAACAAAACAGATGAGCAGAGTTGATAATTTGACTCGAATTCTCACTTCGAAGTAAAATTTGGTTGGAAGGGATTCGTGAATTGGTCTCACTCGAGACAGAACAGTTTTCGAGTAAAAAGTATTGCTGACTTGTGCAAAGTCGTGCTTGACTCACATCTTCAGATCGTGAAACCAGAGCAGCTTATCCTCTTCACTGGAACCTATTGGTTGGGAAGACTTCCATATTATCTGAAACCAAGTGGATCACATAAACTTAAAGACCACATGGTCTGCTGAAACTACATTCTAACCAGTCCCCTCCGTCCGAGTTTATCATGCCTCGTAAAATCGTGCGGAGCTGCTCAGAGCCCAGAGCATCAGGCATTCTGCCGAAGATGACTTCGACTTCAGAGAGACGAGTTAAGCTTCTGACGGTGGAATACAAGTTGATGTTGTTGTCTGATTTGCCAATGCGTGGAGACTGCGGCGACGATTTGCTTCCGTGCACAAATAACATCCACTTTTCTGCCATCTTTCACGACCAGCATACTGGCCAGCACCTTTGTACCGTCTGCCCACCTGACAGCACCTTCGTTAGGCTAAAACTGTATTTCATTTCACACTAAGGCGCCTTGTGAAGAGATTATTGACAGTCAACCCTACCAGAAGATGACAGCCGACTCTCCTTTTACGGTCGTTCAGCTCCACTACGACGGTCGGGTGAGATCGACCTACGACAGACAATGTTGTCTGCCCCATAAGACTCATCGAAACCCACTTACCGTTCGTATCAAGCCACAAGACTTGGCATCTCCACCTACGACCTCATTACGAGATCGGTGTTAGCGTCGCATTCTTCTAAGCAGAACCTGCAAAGCTTATGCTAAGCCCGGTTTAGTAGTTGTTTGACTTTGTTTTCTCCACATGGTCATATTGGCAGGAAGGCCTGCAGGAACGCACCTTATCCGGAGTCCATAGTGTGAATGATACTTTCCAGACCTGGTATATCCTCAGACGAAGAAAAGTTGGTTACGTTCCTCTAGAAGATCGCGAACATGCAAAATGACACACCAACTTGGTATTCATAGCCTTGATTAGACCCGATTTGTTGGGTGCGTTGAACTGTATGAAAAAGACTGGGCCCGAGTGGGCTCGGTCCTGCAATTCAACAGTCTCCTTACGCGGCAATCCTCCTTTGGTTTCCGAATTCTTTCCAACCAACTTGGCCTTCGAAATGGAAAGTCATACCACACACTTCAACCATCACTCCTTCATCATCTTGTTCGACTATAACTTCTATTCCCGATTTGCTGATATTCTCGCAATCCACTCTCAATTCGGAGCAAGAATGGCCTGTTTGACTGCTTCTACCGGAGCACTCCAAGACGGTGTGTTCAGCTCTTCTTCGTCGACAGACAGAAAGTGGCAAAAAAGACTTTCCAGATGCTGCCGCCCCCTGCCTGGCCTGGTCTGGACAACTGCGAGAAGTGAGAGAAGTGCGAGAAGTGCGAAAAGTGCGAAACGTGCGAGAACTGTAGACCCTTGCGCCGAAGACTCAATCTCAGCCGGCCCGAGTCGTGGGGTCCTGATGTCGGGCCGAAGGAAATGTATGCGCCGGAGAGGGAGAAAACATATCCGTGGAGGGTGTAAGTGGGCGCCGACTGATAAGTGAAGTGAGTAGTGTGCATACTTGGCGAAAAATAGCACATTAGACTGTCTGAGCTGCGCATTGAACGGGGCGATGTGCCGGAAAGAATGTCTCCAGAAGCCTGCTCGTCGTCTTCCGCCTCCCTCGGTCGTCGAGAGGTCGGCTTTTTTCCGTCAAACGACGCCATCAGCACCAAATTCCAGTCGACACTGCCGTCTCAGACAAAAAGAGGACTGCGCGAAGAAGGAGGCTTGAGGATGTGAGGATGTGAGGATGTGAAGATGCGAGGGTGAGAGGGTGCGAGGATGTGAGTATGTGAGGATGTGCAGCCGAGGGTTGTTGTCTGCCGTTCCAGTCGGCATGTCGACCAGTTGAACTGGCACAATCTCCACGAGTCAGTCAAGCTCAGGCCCGACCAGTCTGAGGACGGACATAAAACGGTGGCAATCGCCTCTTCGTCGTTCTACACAAACATGCCAACCGCCTTGAGGGTTTCGGTACTCCTGCTTCTGGCCCTTCAATTATGTAAGCCATTTTTCACACGAACCAACATGTAGCCTCATTTCAATGCTCCTCGCCTCGCCTAAACCATCTGACATTTGCTGCTAACCGACTTTACTTGCGAACTCATCTGGACTCCGGTGGCTCGGATACCAACTATTCGAGGTTCCATTTAGAATATTTAGCCCAAGCAAGAAGAGGCAGGCCAAATACCAACTTGCACTCGATTATAGGAGAGGGTTGACCTCGTTGTCGCAACTTGGTCTTGTTGTCAGGGCAACTTAGTAGAACGCACCTAGTCCAAAGCCGTCTGCAACAGTAATCGTCATGACTCCCAGCATCAGACAGTGGACTTGGTACATTATCAAACCTTTCGCCGGCATCGTAGTCGGCATCATCAGTTAGCTTTGTCATTCTCCGCACCAAAATAC